CAGGAGTGGCGGTGCCCTGCCAGCTGAGTTTCGTTGTGAGCTCCCTTGTGCTTGATCCTTTCTGCAAGTCTTCCACTGATGCGCTGTTGTCCTGCAATTTGCAAATGACCAACGCCACCCTGACGACCCAACGTGCATGCGCAGCGTTGCAGCCGGGAGTTGTCTTCAAACCTCTCCTTAAGCAGCGTGCACTCGCGCATGCCGTGGCGCCGCGCCCGGAACCGGGCGCCGCCACGATTGTCCGCCCGCTCCTGTTACCCACTTGCGCCGGGCACCGGCCTCTGCACCGCCGCCGCCCCTGCAGGCCCCCTGGCGGGGTCGACTGCTCATGGGGCGCCCAACTCCTCGGCGAGTGAGCTTGATTCACCATGCATGCTTTTGGCACTCCTGCAAGTTGACGTTCTGAAATTGCCTGGGTCTTCTTATACGTGCTTCAGCACACGTTTAGGGGGGCAAGAACATGCCTGTGCCATCGTTTTCAGAGGCAACCGTTGCTTTCGCAAAGCAGGGTTGGGCACAGGGAGGGGCAACCGCCTCACAATTCCTGACGCCCGTACCGGGAGCCCGCTCGGTGGCGCATCTGCGCAGTTGAAAGGCAATCATCCCGGCTGCGGCCGAGCCCATGGCGCTTGGGGTGCATGCCCACATTCCCACATGCTTTGCGTGCTGGGCTGGTTCTGGTATGGTGGCGGCGGCGGCAACAGCCCCCCGGGCAGGCTGGGTAGGCCCCTTTTGAGTGGGGCTTGCCAAGTGGATACCCCGCAAACCTGGCAAGCGGTCGCCAACGCCTCACGGCAGCGGTGTCAGGCAGCCACCCCTATGCACGGCGCGCCTGCGCTGACTCTCACTCATCGCATTCTTGCTTATCTGTGTGGGTAATAACATGAGACTTGCAATTGCACAGAGGGGCGCATGAACGTTGCATTCCCCAACTGGGCCAGTGCATGACTAAACAGTGCGGGGGTGCTCGCCACAAGAAAGCGCTGATGGCAAGGAGCGTCACCAGGCAACGTCACCAACAATTGTGGAGGTAATCAGAGAGCCATGTAGTCCCTGCCCAGCAATCCTTCGCAAAATAAGGACTGCATACCCTTTCGCGCTGAGACGGTGGTTGCATCGGCAGCTGCCCATGGCATGTCGCGTCGTTGCTTGCACAGTTGCCACCTCTAAACCGTGTCCAGGTTGCCGGACTCGCACGCCAGTGTCGCATGACAGCTACAGATCCAGCTTGTATGGTGAAAGTGGTGCACTTGTAGAGCATCGCGCACAAGTAGATCTGCAGGTGCAGCACAAGCACCCATGTTTCTACAAAAAGCTTTACTATTTCACATATGCATGTTGATCCTGGTGGCAGGCGCGTGCACCGCCGCTGGTGATCGGTTCTTATTTGAAACGTTCGACCGCGGCTGGCAGACTAGGTGGGAACATTCAAATCAGAAGAAGTACACTGGCCACTTTGAGGAACTGCAGCGGCCCCACAGCAAGGGCCACGATATGGCAATCACAGTGAGTGCTGGGGGTGTGCATAGCTCAAACTGAGCGCATGCGTGCTTGCCGGCATCTCAGGGCATGTGGGCACTCTACAAGAGAGCAACTCATGGCAGGCCGCAGGCCTAATGACAACATCATAGCAGCATCCACGGGCGCCATACGCGCCTGCCTCACCCCTCTTGCGTCCTGCGCCGCACGCAAGCGCCGCGCACCTCCCCTCTCCCTGTCGCGCCCCAAAACCTCCAGGTCCCGGAGCCCAACAAACACTATGCCATGGCCGCGCTGCTGCCCTTCCCCCTGGCCCCCGAGTCCGGGCTGATCGTGCAATACGAGGCGCAGACGGCGCAGACGCACGGCTGCGGGGGAGCCTATATGAAGCTCCTGTCGCCGCCAGACGGCTGGGCGCCACAGCGGCTGAGGAGCCGGACGCCCTACTCGATCATGTTCGGGCCCGACCGCTGTGGCGCGGCGGCGAGGGTGCGCGAGGGGGCGGGCGGGCCCTCCATCGGCGCGGCTGAGGCGCCGCGGGGCCGCGGGCGGCGTGTTTGCCACTGGGCGGACGGCCCAGGCCCCGCGGCTGTGGGCGGGCGGCCCGAGCAAGCCGGGGGCCAAAACAGCGCGGCGCAGGGCCTCGGCACGCAGCCAACCACCTGCCCCTGACGCTGCCGCGCCTGGCAACCAGATCCGCCCCTGTCCCCCTGCCTTCCGGGTCCCGCCCCCCTCTCCCCATGGACAGGTGCATCTAATCTTGAAATGCTTCAACCCAGCCCTCGGCGCCACGACAGAGCACCACCTGGCGTCGCCCCCGCCCCCGCCGAACGACAGGCTGCCGCACATATACACCCTCATGTTGTCCAAAGAAGGCCGGTGCGCGCACGGCTGGGGGGCTGGGTTGTAGGGGCCGGCCGCCTGCTGTGGAGGGCGTGGGCAGGGGCGCAGGCTGCTGTTCCGGCAGCACCGGGAGTGTGCGCACCGCGCTGCGCAGATGATGGGCGCGGGGGTGCCAGGCTGGGGCGTTGTCATTAGGTCCTCTGAGCGTGAGAGCGCCACGCCTGCCCCTATGCCCTACCCCAGATATACACACATTTACGTATTTACATACTCACATGCACACACGGGGACGCACATCCATACACTTACATGCATCAACACACACGGGCGCTCACACACACACACACACACACACACACACACGCACACACAATTCGCGCGTGCAGCTACCGCGTTCTGATCGATGGAGAGGAGCGCGCTGCGGGCGGTCTCCTGGATGACGGCGCCTTTGAGCCGCCGCTGCGCCCGCCCAAGCGCATCCCCGACGCCTCTGATGAGAAGCCCCTCGCCTGGGACGAGCGCGAGGAGTGAGCGGGCGGCGCGGCCCGCGTGGACGGGGAGGGGGGCCGGGCGGCGCTGGTGTTGGGGTGGGGCTTGAAGCAGAGGGGGCCGCTTGCACAGCTGATCTGGCCGTCCTACCCACAAACAAACACCCAAACACACAAACTCGCACACACAAAACAGAGTTCTGTGCGCACCAACAGTCACACGTCGGCGTAGGTTGCCCGCATCCCCCCATATGCCTCCTTGCATCCCCATCATCACCCCTGCCCCCAGATAGCGAACCCTTTTACACCCCCAAACAACCCAACCAGGATTGACGACGTCCGCGCCGTCAAGCCGTCTGACTGGGACAACCGAAAGATGGTGCGCGGGGTGCTCAGGAGCTCCCCCAGGGCCGACACCGTGACGCCGCCATGTTGCTCCCCACTGCGCCGGTACCCATCCTGTTGCTAAGCCCAACTATGCCCCCCCAGCCGCCCAGCCCGGGCCATGCCGACACGCCCCAGTGCGGCCGGCCCCGGCTCACCGCACCTGGCTGCCCGCAGCCTCTCCCATTGGTGCCATAACAATCTCCACCCGACACCAACCGATGCCAACCGACGCCCCTCAGATCGTCGACCCGGACGCAGTCATGCCCGCGGGCTGGCTGGAGGGGGAGCCGACCCACCTGCTTGATGAGGGCGTGCCAAAGCCGCGGGACTGGGACGATGCGCGAGATGGCGTGTGGATGCCTCCAGAGGTGAGAGGGCAGGGGGGCGCAAGCAGTCGTCGCGCACGCGCCTGAAGTCGAGTGGAGTGTGTGCGTGTGTGCGTATGTGTTGTCGCAGTGGGGGAGCAGGGCAGCCAGAGGCGAGAGGGCTGGGCGCGCTTTTGGATGTGGTGTTTGGTGGAGCAGAAGGGGGCCCGGGGTGCTGAGGAAGTTCAGCGGGCGCTGTCAGAGGTGATCAAGCTGTGTGTTGGAAGGCGGGCAGGCAGCCGGCCGTCCGGAAGGGAGTGTCGAGGTGTGTGGAGTGTACTGTTGGGTGAGGCCAGCAGATGTAATCCCTGGGGGATGACGGCACCCTACCCGCGCGCGGGGGGCGTGTGGGGTGGGCACTGGCGGTTGTGAGGGTGGGATCTGGGGTGATGAGAGAGGGCTCTGCACTTAGATTTTACGCGCACGTGAGCGACACAGCGTCCAGCATGTCTGGCCCATGCGCTGAAACAACCGTACGCGCTGTGTACACCCGTGGGTACGTGCACACACATGGGCATGAGAACGCACACACACACATACACACACAAGCGTGCGAGGAACTTACGCCTTCCAATGAATGTTCGCTGACGCCGCAGATTGAGAACCCTCGCTGCAAAAGCGCCCCTGGCTGCGGCCCCTGGCGCCCCCTCAAGCGCAACCCCAATTACAAGGGCGTCTGGCTGCCCCCGCGCATCAAGAACCCAAACTATCAGGCGAGCGGGTCTCAGGGTTGACCCACACACGCACGCACGCACACACACACACACACGCGCGCGCGCGCGCGCTTGCGCACGCACGCACGCACACATGCCAGACGCGGGGCTGGGAAGGGAATTTTGAGTGTGCGGCAGTCCGGGGCATGGCGTCACGTCCCAGGAAAAGGGAGCATTGCCCAGGGTGCATGCGCCCTTGCAGTGATTCGTGTCTTGCGCCTCAACTCTCCAGGCAGTGCCCGCCCCTGGCCTCGGCCAACACGCAATGGCACACACACACACACACACACACACACACACACACACACACACACACACACACACAGGCGCACACACTTACACACAACTCCGCTCTCTTGCCGCAGGGCGAATGGAAGCCGCGGCTTATCAAGAACCCGGCGTACTTCGAAGGCCAATCAGTGGACGCACCTCTCAAACGCATAGCGCCCATCCGCGCCGTCGCCTTTGAGATTTGGACCACCGGTGAGCCCAGCGACACGCGCCCCCAACTGGCCTGAGAAACGGAAAGAAAGGGCAGCCCTGGGACGACTCTACTTGTGCCTGCCGCAGGCGCACAGTAGCGGGGGCGGGCAGGGCCGGGCGTCGGCTGGGGGCTTGAATGGCGTCCCGGCCCTGTCCGCGAGGGCGACCAGGGCAGGGCCGGCCGGCGCGGCGTCTCTGCCACTCGCCCGCACGCACCACCCCCGAGCCCGAACATCTCAAGACCGCGCCCGCAGGAACGCCACGCCAGCCCCGTCCCAGGCGGTCGCCACCGAACCTTCAGCACTCCCAAAAGCCAAGTGCACACGACTTCCCATGCGCACGGCCCTGCCCCCCCCCCCCCAACCACGCACATAGACACACACAAACACACACACACACACGCAAACACGCGCGCGCGCGCGCACACACAAGCGCTTACTCCCATGTGCATACCACATGCTACACGATCCCTGGACCCCGCAAAACCCTGCTGCAGACAAGGGCTACCTGTTTGATGGGGTGCTAGTGGCGCCAGAGGAGGGCGGGGCAGAAGCTGCCGAGGCGTACCGCCTGGGGGTGTGGCGCCGCCGCTACTGGGAGGAGGTGGGGCAGTACAGTACAGCAAGGGGGGCCGGGCGCCCGTGGAGGGTGTAAAATGGGGGGAAGTCGGGACAGCGGATGAGTGCTGGGCGGCGGCGGGGGGCCCGTGGCAGAAGCAATGCGCCCCCGTGTCGATGCAATTCACACCCCCTCGTTCGCAACCCCCTGGATTCAAGCCACCCTCCTGCAGCATGCCACCCTGGAGCCCCTCCCCTTCAGCCCTCTGACCCTCCCTCCCCACTTCATCGACACTCGGTACCTCCGACATGCTCTGCCCTCGCCCGCAGTACGGCGCCGCAGAGACCGCGCACCGCCGAAGCCAAATCGCCCAGGTCCCCGCCCCCGCCCGCTGGATCATGCTCGCGTTTGAATCGGAGCCCCTGGCGCAGCTGCGCGCCGCGGCGGTGCCCGTGCTGGAGCAGCTGTACGCACGGCCGTGGCTGGCCTATGTGGTGCTGCTGCTGCCGCCTGCGGGGGCGGTGCTGCTGGTGGGGTGGCTGCGGCGGCGCCAGGTGGGCGGGGGCGCGGGAGCGTGCGCGCGGGGACGGGGGG